TTCCCCCCTGCGGTGGGCACCTCAGCCCAGTGCCCCAGGTGCCCCACAGCACCCACCAGACTTGGGGAGAGGGTAGGACGTCTTGTAATGATCCTCAAAGAAGTTGAGGATGGGACCAGTGACATTGAGCGCGTAGTCGCCCTGGCCCTCGCTGATGGCTTTGGGGCGGCCCCAAATGCGGATCTGGAGAGGAGGATGCAGGACTCATCAGTGGCCCAGGCTCAGCCACCCAGGTGGGCAGGGGGTGCACCCCACCTCATCCTACCAGTGTGTTGTTTGATATTCTCTCCACGTGGCTGAACCGGCTGACAATGAAGGCCAGCAGGTACGTGGACATCCGGGGAGTGGTGTCAAACTCAGTGACGTTCCAGGTCACTCCATCAATCACCTGCTCCCTGGTGTCTGTGGAGATCAGAGAATCACCCCACAGCTCTGCCAGGTCCCCAGCCCCCCAGCAGGGCTCCCCTGCCCCACTCACTTTTGGCAGGCATGTTGGAAATGGCCTCATAGCCAGACGGGTAGATCAGCGTCACTGTGAAGTTGGCTTTCATGGCCGGCTCGTCGAAGCAGGGGAAAGCTTTGCGTGCGTCAGCCGCCTGCATCTGCGTGGTGGCCACCACCTGCCTGTGAGCCAGCCCCATCAGTCCTGGGGGTCCCTGTGGAGGCCGCACCCCCCAGTGCCCTTTCTCCCACCCCCACCGGGGCAGCATGAGGATGCAAGGGCGGCACAGAGGCTCCACACACCCATCCCACAGTCCTGGTGGGAGAGGAGCCCCAAAGCCAGCTCATGCCCTCCACTGCCCCGTGCCAGCCCCGTGCCCCCATTCCCCTTCCCAGCACCACACTGGGCCAGCGCTGTGGCTTCCACCCCACCCCTGCCCTCCACCTACTTGCTGCCTGACTCGTCCGTGTACTCGCTGCGGTAGAAGCCAGCCAGGTCATCGGCCAGCTCCCCAGTGAAGCTGCTGGACAGCCGGTACCGCTGGCCCTGCTGCAGGGGAGCGCCCAGCTGCACCACCAGGTACTCGGTGGGAGTCTCCAGCCAGGTGCGGGAGATGGCAGGGGCATTGCCACCACCCTCTGCCTGCAAGGTGGCATGGAAGGAGCCCTGCATGGTGTAGTTCAGCTTCTTGCTGTGGATGAGGATGAGGTCGGTGGCCTTCTCACACATGAAGACCACACTGCTGTTGCCCTTGAAGATGTACATGTTGTTGGCATCTGGCTTCAGGAAGGGCTGCAGGGACACCTCGTAGAACTCCGGCTTCAGCGTGGCTGGCAACCTCCACTGGTTCCAGGGATTGTTGGGTGCAGGGGTGGTGGTGCTGGTGCCCGGGCTGGCCGTGGTGTTGGTGCCCGGGCTGGCCGTGGTGCTGGTGCCCGGGCTGGCCGTGGTGTTGGTGCCCGGGCTGGCCGTGGTGCTGGTGCCCAGGCTGGCCGTGGTGCCAGTGCCCGGGCTGGCCGTGGTGCTGGTGCCCAGGCTGGCCGTGGTGCCAGTGCCCGGGCTGGCCGTGGTGCTGGTGCCCACATCTGATACCCCCTTATTCTTTTCCTGGGCGTACACCACCGAGAGTGCAATGATGGTGGCCACAGCCCCCAGGCCCAGCACAATGGCCACGATGCCCACGGTCTTGCTGATGAAGAAGCCGCCTGCCATGGCGGGCAGCAGGAGCGGCACTGGCGGGGACGGCGCTGGTGCAAGCACGGCTTTTAGCCTCTCGCTCCCACGAGGTTTATTAGTCCAAGTTAATGGGTGAAGGATTAAATGGCCATGGGGTTCAGGGCGGCGACAGACCCTGGGATGAGCTTTCCCCCCGCCCGCCTCCCAGCCTGGCAGGAGCACCAAGGCCCGGCACCGCTGCTGCAGGGGCAGAGCTGGCGGTGCGGGGTGGCACCATCGGGGAGCGTGCACGGGCTGCGGGCCTGGACCCCGGCGTCCTTCCCAGCGCTGGCCTGGCCCTGCAGGAGGGACAGAGCAGGTGGTCGCAGCCAGCAGCCACATCCACGCCGTGCTGCGGGGCCTGGCATGTGTCCCCAGCAGCCGAGCCCAGATGCAGACTCAGCGTCACCCCATCCACCCTCGAGTGACAGTGTCTGAGCCACTCTCAGAGGGTCCGGGCTGCCCCTGCATGCGGGGGGCACAGCCCACAGGCTGCCCCACCCAGGCAAAGCGGAGCAGCATAGTGCAGCACAGGGGTCTAGGAACGGCACGGGAATGTGGGGGAGGACACTTGGGAGGAGCTCCCTCTGCTCACAGCCCTCTCAAAGTCCAGGGTCACAATTCTGGAGGCAGTGGGGTCAAACTCCGTCCTTGTGAGCCCAGCCCCAGTGGGCATAGGTGAGGTCCCCACCCAGGGTGGGGTGGGGGTGGGTAACACATCCTGTCACACACTGGGAAGAAATAGGAAGTCCCGTTCTCAGGATCTAATCGATCTCTCCATTGGGAGATATGGGAAGGTGCTGCCAGAAGCCACAGCTGGGGCAAAGGGCAAACCAGGATGAGTGAGTGGTGTCCTCAGGGAGCCCTTGCCCTGTCCCAGGCAGCACCCAGATGCACCTGCACAAATCCCTCTGGATGCTGCTGGTGTCCCTGGCACTCCCTGTCAGGCACAGCAATGCTCCAGGCCCAGAGGTCACTGCTGGCTCTCTCAGAACCATCCCCACGCTGGCCCTGGCCAAAGGCTTTGGGGACAGTCCCCCACGGGACCAAGGCCACGGGTGACTGGGAAGGTGCCCGGCACTCTGCACACCCCCTGTCCCGTGCCAGTGGGCCTGCTGGCCCTCCCCATAGCCCCGGGGGCACAGCACGCAGGGGGGGCTGGATGGAGGGGCTGGATGGAGGGGCTGGATGGGGTTAACGGGGAGCAGCAGACACAGCACCCAGCCTGCAGGACTGTCCCACCCCACACGACCCCTCCCTGGAGCCGGCCAGCAGCACACACATCTCCCACAGGGTTTGGTGTCGCCCCCGTGGGCACGGGGGCCCTTGGGGCTCTGGCCTCACGCACCCCACAGCCTGACACCCCCCAGCGCCCTCCACGCCGTCATGAACCCCCACAGACCCCCCAAACCCCGCACTGCATACGGGCCCCATAGCCCCCATGTATGTGAGCCGCACGGCTCGCCCCACACCCCGCAGCCCCCGCAGCCCCTTCCCCGCTCGGTCCAGCCCAAGGCTGGCCCCGCTTGGGCCGTGCAGCGCCCGCGGCAGCCGAGCTCCCCCTCACCTTCCTGCGCTCCGCGGGGCCAGCGGGGTCCGCCCGCGCTGCTGCCCCTTCCTGCGCCCCGCGGGCGGCCCTGCCCGGCTCCGGCCCGGCTGCTGCCCGGCTCCGGCCCGGCTGCTGCCCGGCTGCTGCCCGGCTGCTGCCCGGCTGCTGCCCGGCTGCTGCCCGTGCCCCTGCCCGGCTCCAGCCCGGCTCCTTCCCGTGCCCCTGCCCGGCTCCGGCCCGGCTGCTGCCCGTGCCCCTGCCCGGCTGCTGCCCGGCTCCGGCCCGGCTCCTTCCCGGCTCCTGGCGGCCCTGCCCGGCTGCTGCCCGGCTGCTGCCCGGCTCCGGCCCGGCTGCTGCCCGGCTCCTGCCCGTGCCCCTGCCCGGCTCCGGCCCGGCTCCGGCCCGACTGCTGCCCGGCTCCGGCCCGGCTGCTGCCCGCCTCCTTCCCGTGCCCCTGCCCGGCTGCTGCCCGGCTCCTTCCCGTGCCCCTGCCCGGCTGCTGCCCGGCTCCTTCCCGTGCCCCTGCCCGGCTCCTGCCCGGCTCCTGCCCGGCTCCTTTCCGTGCCCCTGCCCGGCTGCTGCCCGGCTCCTGCCCGGCTGCTGCCCGGCTCCAGCCCGGCTCCGGCCCGGCTCCTGCCCGGCTCCTTCCCGTGCCCCAGCCCGGCTGCTGCCCGGCTGCTGTCCGGCTGCTGCCTGGCTCCTGCCCGGCAGAGGGGCTCCCGGCAGGGGGGATCCCGGCAGAGAGGATCCCGGCAGAGGGGATCCCGGCAGAGGGGATCCTGGCAGAGGGGATCCCGGCCCCAGCCTCGCACGCCCCGCAGAGCGGCCGGGCCGGGGCGGCGGGGCCGGAGCCGGTAGCGGAGCCGCCACGGGCGGTGCACGGGGAGCACGAGTGGCCGGACACGGCCCCAGCGGCACGGGGCCTCGCCGCCCCCCTCACCGTGAGGTGAGCTGGAGCGGTCCCCTCCGACCGCCCCAGTCCTGCCAGACTCCGCGTCCCAGCCCCGGGACACAGCCCAGGCACGATGGCTCACCTGCACCCTTTGCCGGCACCTACAAGAGGAGAAGGAGGAGGAGGAGGAGGAGGAGGAACAGGAGGAAGCGGAGGGAGAGGAGAGCCAGCGGAGGACACAGCAGGTTGCCCAGCTCCTTGACCTCCAGGAGGGCTGATGTGGCTAGTGGCCAGCTGCGGAAGGGTTAAGCTGCAGGGAGGGGAAATTCCTTCTAGGCAGAGTCACGGTTTCCCTGCCAGGGGAAGTGGAGGCAGAACCTGGAGCACAGCTGGGGAGCAGAGGAAGGGCCTCTGGCCAGGCCCAGGGGCTGGTGGCCAGATGGAGCTTTGGTGGAGCCAGGGGCATGGGGTACATGGCTGACAGAGCCCATCAGGGTCACTGTGATCCCCCAGGACAAGCCCTGCTCCTCCCCAACCTCAGAGGACCCCAGCCCCACAGCTCCCACACACCCACAGAGCAGTCAGAGCTCACAGAGCTGCTGCCCTGCAGCAGGGAGAGGGCAGGAACTGGCAAAGGGTGAACTGCCACTAAAGGCCCAAAGCTGGGGACATTGTCACAGCCATCGTGGCCATCACCATCCCCATGCCTGCTCTGAGAGCAGCGGGTGCAGCCAGGGACGCTGCCCTAAGGCCCCTGCCCTCCCCTGGGGCTCTGGGGCCCCCTTTCCCACCCCCTGGGCCTCCACCAGCCAAAAGCCCCCCAGGGCTGCAGCTGCCCCAGGAGAGCTGCACAGAGCCCCCGGCCCCCTCCCCTTCCAGCAGCACCCACAGCAGACACAGACACGGGTTCAAGGGCAGTTTATTGGGACACAGGGACCCACTCCAGCAGCCCCAGCCTGGCCTGGCCCTGCAAGCCCCCCAGGTCACTCAGCTCCTGTCCTTCTTGCTGCCATTCCTGCCCCAGCATGTCCCACTCACTGTCCCCCGGGCACACAGCAGCTCCCATGAGGGATCCCCACTCAGCCGGGGCCCATCACAGAGAGCAGGACCAGAGCAGGGCACAGCCACGGCTGGGAGGGTGGAGCAGACAACCTGCAGCTCCTGACAGTGCCACTACAGGCACACTCTCACCTCTGGGAATCCCAAGAACCCCGGGAGAGGCAGGAGCCAGCCCTTCCCCACAGCAAGGAGAGGCTGTGTGTCCGCAGGGAGCGAGGGGAAGGAAGAGCACCCTCCTTGTTGGGGGACCAGAGAGCAGAGCTGAGCCCAGGTCCAGAGGGAGGGACTCCCCAGCTCGTTCTCTGAGCCCTGTCACCGCTCCCTACCCTCGGCCACCATCGGCCCCTGTGTGGCACATGCAGAGCCCCGGGAGGAGCCCAGGACCCCCGCTCTGCTTGGCGGGCAGCCCCCAGCACGGGCTGCTCACATGAACTGCGACAGGTTGGGCACTTTGATGTTGATGTCCCCGATGTTGATGTTGCGGGGGATCTCGGGCAGGTTGATGTTCTTCACAGCCGACACAGCGCGGGAAGGAGCAGCTGAGAGGCCTCCCTGGGGACAGAGGGACCATGACCATGGGCCACAGCCCCTCCGCAGCTGCATCTTTGATAAACCTGGGCTCAGGAACCTTGACAAAAGAACCCCATCCACAGGCAGCTCCCTGCGCTCTTGACCAGCACCACTGGGCAGGGATGTCCCCGGCCCCATCCCGAGGGCTCAGGCAAGCAGACCTGGGAATACCCTGGATACCCCCCACGCCCACCTCAGTCCCCGTGGGCCACCCCCTCGCAGCCCAGGGTCTGCCAGCTCCCGCGGGGCAGAGCCGCAGCGTCGCTGCTCACCTCTGCCTTCTCCAGCTTGCCCTGGGCCTCCACCTGCGCCACAATCTCGTTCATGTTGGTCTCCAGCACCATCCCGCCGATCACCATCTCCTGCAGGATGTGGTGGACCTGCCAGGGAGGGACGGAGGGAACAGAAGGCTGAGGGCTCGGTCCTGGCCCGCAGCAGCTGCAGCGCCAGCGTGGGGGCGTGTCAGGGGCCAGCATCTGCCCAGAGGACACAAATCTACCCCTGTCCCCTTCTGAGCTGCCTGGAGAGCGAAAGGGCGGCCAGGGTCCTTGGCATGGGGAGCCCCAGAGCTCCACTTACCACCTGCACCCCTCTGGAGATGACACCCACCACCCACAGACACACGGCAGCCCTGCAGCAGCCAGGTGCAGCTGGCTCCACTGGCACAGCCCGTGCCACCCCGACACATGCTGCTCCCTCCCTAGGCCAGCAGCCAGGTCACAGCAGCAATGGTCCTAGGGATGGACTAGGGATAAGCCCAGCAGGCAGCAGGGTCCTCCCTGGGCAGGACACTTCTCCCCAGAAGCTCCTTCTCCTCAGAAAGCCAGGCCAGAGCCTGGCCTCTCCGCTTAGGAAGGTCAGGACTGTGGCATAGGCACAGAGAAAACACAGAACTGCCAAGGGAGTCTGCTCCTCCCCTGGGATCCCTCGAGTCCAAGGAAGAACAGCCAGGCAGGGCCAGTGCAACCACACAGACAGAGCAGGGAAAGGAACAGTGCAACCCCAGAAATTGCAACCAGCCTCGAGGCAGCAGCCAGGCTGTGCTACTGGCTACAACCCCCTTCAGCTCCTGCACCTGGCTCAGCTCAGCATTGCCTGCACAGTCAGCAGCTCCCAACGAGCTCCCAGCACAGATAACGGATTTATGGGTCCCAGTTACTTCCGTGAAAGAGGCTACACAGGAGCACGGCTGGGTTATGAGATTGTTTTATGGTTTCACAGAGCCAGGCTGTACCTGTAAACACCTTGTGACTAACACCACCAGGACAATCCTGGGGAGAAAAGAGCACGCGAGAACGTGCTCTGAGGGGCAATCCCAGCTCTGGGAGGTGACCCCACCCAGGGCTCCCCGAAGCTCCTGCCCCACTCCCACAGTGCCTGCAGCAGCAGTGTGTGGGATCAGCACAGCACAGGGTGAGCCCCAGGCAGCCCTGGAACCCCCATCCCACAGCCCAGTCCCAGCACATGCTGATGCAGCTGCAGCAAGTGCCTCCCACAGCCTAGAAGGATATGGGAGCATCAGGAAACGTTCCTCCAAGACCTGGCTTCGGCCCAAGCTGGCTCCAAACCAACGGGGCAGAAATCCTGAGTTTTGTTTTCCAAGCACAGCACATCCTGAGGACTCTGTGTCTCCTCTGGGACTCCGCAGCTGTGAGTGCAGCTCACGCTCCCCTCCAAGGTGGAGAGCATGGCCGAGGTCTGGGCAGAGTCCACCCGAGCCCGCCTGGGACAGGGGATCCCTGCAGCTCACTGGGGCTCCCAGTGCCAACAGCTATGAGCACTGGTGTCACTGGGGCCTGACCAGTGTCCCCCTCCATCAGCCCACGGCAGGAGCAGGAGCCCGGGCCCACCACAGCTCCAGTCCCAGGGCCCTGTGCTGCAAGCAGTGCAAGGTGGAACTTAAGGCAAAAAGAAAAATTACAGAATGCAGCCAAAGTTGCACCTGAACGCCTGGCATCCCCTGCCCAGGGAGACACTCACAGCCCTGTCCCCAGAGACACTCAGGGCCCTGCCTGGGCATGCCAGGGGCCAGCAGGACACAGCAGCACATTCCCAGCACCCCAAACACCATCCTCTGCAACCCAGCTCCGGGAAGCACGGGACCATGAGCACGTCTGAGAAATAAACACCTGCCTAATATAGAAAGAGACCCAAGAACCAACTGATAATGGCCAAGAGTCGAAGCTGGGAAGCAGCAGGAGCATCAGATGGGAAGGGCTGGGAAAGCCGGGGTGACCGAGCTGGGGTCTCCACTACCAGAAACCCCGACCCCCATCTCCTGAGAATGTTCTTCTGTCAGGAGGGGCCAGAGGAAGGGTGACCCACTGCTGCTGGCAAAGGTGTGATGTGCCCTGCCCAAGGGCTGGGGCTGGCCATGGGGCTCAGTGTTTTACATGCAAAGCCCATGCAAAGCTGAGAGTAAGGCTGAGTGAAAAACTGCTGAGTCCTGCCCATCCCACAGAGTCAGTGCCCATGAGCATATCCTCCCCCAGCTGTGGGCAGAGGTGACCTGGGCAGCTGCCAACACTTCTCCCACAGCTGCTTGACTCTCCTTCCTCCTTTGATAAACACTTTTGCTGACAAGAAAATCTCGCTGTGGCATTTTGGAAAGTTTGCAATAGGGCAAACAGTGAAACCAAACCCAACCTCAGCAGCTGTTAATGCAGACAGCGCCCCAGACCTGCTCACTCCCCTTCCCTGCCAGTTCCCCAGCTGGAATCATCAACGGAAAGGGAGCATTTTGCACCTTTTTTTTTTTTTCCCCAGTGCTCTTTTTTGTTCTATGTTTTGTCTCCAGCAAAGCAAGAAAATCTTGACCAACAGCAACACAAGCCCAGCGCCCTCAGCCAAGCCTCTCCCTCCTCCAAATCTATTCCTGGCTATATACTCCCAGCTATCTTCAGCCTTGAGATCCAGAACATGATCAAAGAGGACGGTTCCCGCCCAGGATCTCCATCCAGCTCAAGAGGAAGCATTACAGGCTGTGGCTCAAACCAAAGTTTACCCAGCACTTTGAATTCCAAACACTCCCATTGTTCCTTCCCATTTTTTCCCAGCAGCTGTAGTAAAATGTTAACTCCTGAGCTGTCACAGCTGGAGCAGAGGCAGAGCGCCCCAGCGCCAGGCCAGAGTCTGCCCAGCTCCAGCAGGGCTGCCTGTGCAGCACAGGGGCAGCCCCAGGGCTCAGAGCAGCCCAGCACGCGGGTCTCTCCTTGGCAGGTCACGACGTCAGGGGCTTCCAAAGGACACGGGCTGAAACTTCCCACACAGGATCCCCGTCCCTCCCAGTGACCCCTGCCATCCCCACACCCTCCTGGCCAGCCCCAGCCCAGCACCCACCTTGTCCATGTGGAAGATGAGGTCCAGCTCACAGACATTCTCAAAGCACTTGTCCAGCGTCTCCACGAACACCTGGGCAGCAGACAGACACCACACCAGGCAAGATGGTCACGCCAACCCCATGGAACACTCCAGGCATGGGGCAGAGTGACTAGAAAGCTAAAAAAGGACCTAGGGATGCTGGTGACTGTGGCTGAACATCAGCCCAGGTGCGTCCAGGTGAGCAAGAGGCCAATGGCACTTGGCTTGTGTCAGCCCCAGTATGGGCACAGGCCCAGGGCAGTGCCTGTCCCCTGGGCTGGCACTGCTGGGACACCTCCAGTGCTGGGACAGCTCTGGGCCTATCCCAAAAAGAGAAACCTGGAGGGGCTGGAGCGTGTCCAGGGAAGGGATCAGACCTGGGAAGGGGCCGGAGCCACAGGAGAGGCTGAGGGAGCTAGGAAGGGGCTCATCCTGGAGAAAAGGAGACTCAGGGGGCACCTTCTTCCCGTATCCTGGTGTTTAAAGGGTGGCTACGAAGCTGGAAACTCCTTTAACACTAGGAGTCATATGGAAAGACACAGAGCGATGGGTACAAGTTCCTCTTAAGGCTCAAGAGGAAAATTTTTTTCCAAAGACACAGCCGTTGAATAATCTCCATGAGGAAGTGAGGGATTCCCCAGCACTGGGTATTTTTCACAGGGCAGGGTGTTGGGAATTGTCTAGGCCATGTTTTGCCAAGAAAGGCTGGATGAGACAATCCCTGAGGTCCCTTCCAACCTGGGATTGCAGAATCCTAGAATTAATGGTTGGACTTGGTGCTCCCAAGGGTCTTTTCCACCCGAAATGATCCCATGCTTTGATTTTTAGAAGACATTCCTTCAGATTGCCTTCCCTGCTGCTCCCAGGTGAAGAAGCCACGTGGAAGCTCAGGGAGAACATGCAGCCCCCATCCCCAGCACGGCCCCGAGGGCTCCTCAGGCCTTTCAGAAGGGCTGGCACAGGGCTGGCAGGGCCACGAAACACCCCCGAATGGTGCCAGGGCTGGCAGGGAAGCCGGGCCCTGCTGGGACGCACCTGGATGAGGTCCAGGATGCCCAGCTCGCTCTCCGAGGAGTCCACGCAGAACACGAAGTACAGCGTGGCGTAGTGGCGGTAGATCAGCTTGTAGTCCGAGCCGCCGAACAAGCTGTGGGGACACGGGCACAGCTGCAGGCTCGGGCACGCCAGGTCCCGCGCGGGGCCGGGGCACTGCCGGTACCTGCCGGTGCACGGGGCCGGGGCACCGCCGGTACCTGCCCGGGGGCACCGCCGGTACCTGCCGGTGCACGGGGCCGGGGCACCGCTGGTACCTGCCGCACTCCAGGAAGTTGCAGATGTGGTCATCGCGCTTCAGCACCAGGTGGAAGGTGTCGCGGATGATCTGCTGCTGCACCTCTTCTGCCTGCCGGGAGGACGCGGTGGCTGGGCACTGCCGGTGCCACCCGCGGGTGACCCGGGCACCCTGAAGGACGCGACAGGGCAGCGGCACGACCGCCCCGCTCCCGGGACGCCCCCCGCCCATCGAGCCCCACGGCCCCTCCGCCCCGCACCGCTCCCGCTCCCGCACCGGGCTCGGGCTCCGCCGCAGCCCCAGCGGCGGCCCCGGCCCCGCCCGGCCCCGGTGGCGCACCAGGTGCTGGTAGAAGCGGACGAGCCGCGGCTTCCCGTGGTTGTTGAAGACGAGGATGGCGTTGATCATCCCGGCGGCAGCACCGCGGCCGTAGCGCAGGAAGCCCCTCGGCCGCCCCGGAAGCGCACCGGGCTGCGCCGGGCTGAGCCCGGGGTGACCCTGCGGAGCGCCGGGCCGCGCCAGCGATCAAAGCCGCTCCGAGGCGGGGGCTCCGCGGCCTGCCGCCGGGAAGGGCTCGGCCGCTCCTCGCAGCCCGGCGGGGCAGACGGGCAGGCCTGGAGGGTGCGGCGGCCGCTGCCCGCGCGGGGACGGCTGGGACCACTGGGACCACCGGGACCGCCGGGAACACCGGAACCGCCGGGAACACCGGGACCCCGGGACCACCGGAACACCGGGACCGCCGCTTCCCGCGCGCGCCGCCAGGGGGCGCGCCAGCCCCGCCGGGACCGGCGCCTCGCGCAGGGGGCGGGGCTGTGTTAGACCACGCCTTCTTTTAAAGGGCCAGCGGCACCCTGAAGGGTGTGTGCCCGGACGGGGCGAGCGCGTGGGAACCGGCGGGGGCAGAGCTCACCGGCCACTGCCCGGTCCCGCTTCCGCCCAGCGCGGGCACACACCGGCCAGGGCCCGCAGTAACGTGAGAACAGGGCGGGGCAATCCCGCGTGGCACCGGGCGCTAGCCACGGGCCCTTACCGAGAGGGTACGGACACGGCTCCTCGGGACCGCCGGGCACGGCGGGGGACATCGAGGGCCGGGAGAGAAGGGTCAGTGCGCGCCGCGGGGCTGCGAGGAACGGGAGAGGAACGGGAAGGGAACGGGAGAGGGAACGGGAGAGGAACGGCGGCCAGCGCAGGGACCGCGCGTGCTGATTGGCTGAGGCGCCTGCGGCCGCGGGCATCCGCCTGCTGATTGGCTGAGTCAGCAGCCTCTTGAATCCGCGCTCTAATTGGCCGGGATGGCCGCATCCTCTTGAATCCGCGTTCTGGTTGGCTGAACTGGGCGCGTCCTTCTGAATCCGCGTCCTGATTGGCTGGAGCGGACGGGCCGCGACTCCCCGGCAGCCGGCGGTGCCGGGGCTGGCCCGGCCCCGCTCCGGGTCCCGCTCCCGGTCCCGGTCCCGGTCCCGCTCCGGGTCACACGGTGCACCCCGCTCCGTGTCCCGCCCGGTTCCCCGCCCTGTGCCCTGCTTTGTTGCCCGTCCCGTGTCCCAGCCGGGTCCCGCCCGGTGCCCGCTGCAGGCACAGCCGGAGGCGGGGGCAGCCCCGGGAATGCAGGGCAGCGAACCTCCTCGCGCCCCGTCACTGCCGGCGGCGCTTGTGCCCCGGCGGAGCCGTTCCAGGCCGCGGGGCACGCGCGGAGGAAGCGGCGCTCTGGGCACCGCCGGGGGCACCGCCGGGGGCACCGCCGGCCCCGCGCTCCGCAGGGCTCCGGGCTGGGACGTGACGGGATGCTGGGCGGCCCCCGGACACGCGCGGGAGATGTGAGCAGGGCAGCGGGGACGGAGCAGGGAGCTCGGCTTTCGCCACGAACACAAAAAAAAACCCCGAAAAGCAGAAGTGAGCCCAGACAAAGGACTGCGTGTGGAGACTAACTCTGCTGCGATTAGCCCGGCCGGCGCCACCTGCTTCCAAGGGGATGAGAATCTCCCGAGTCACGGCTGCCTCCGCATGCTCCTTCTTCTGTGGGGAGGAGACCCTCCTCTTCCTCCTCCTCCTCCTCTTCCTCCTCCTCCTCACGATGGGAGCCAAAGCCTGCAGCCTGCAGGGTTGCCACCCCCTCTCCCTCCCAAGTCACATCTCACCCCCGTCCCTCCCTCTGGGGAGCAGTGGCCTCCTGCCTCCACATCCCCACAGCTGCGTAGCTCAGCCTCTCCCTCTGCCTTCTCGGGGGAGCCAGGAGCACCCCCTTCCCCAAACCCCCCAACTTCTGGATCACCTGCTCCCTTTCCCATGCCACATCCCATCTCACTGCCTCCTCCGGCCACCTCCTCCCACCCTACCGCGGCCTTTCCCTCCGCCTGTTTGTGTGGGTGAACAGCATCCCTCCCCAAACCCTCCAATTCCTGCAACATCCCTAATTCCTCTCATCCCATTCGTGGCGAGAGGAGTCCTTGCCATCAATCCCTACAAGCTTTTTGGGGTGCCCATGACCTTTCCCACCCCCGTGGCAGAGGAGAGCGATGCCCAGCTGGATGTGGGTCTCTTGGGAAGGTCATCCCCTCCTCGGCATCATTGCGTGGGGCCACAGCCCCCAGAAGGAAGGGTGAGGTAGAAAACGACCCCTGTGCTGCCGGGGGGGACATAAGGCAGGGACAGCGTGGGCATAGGGACCACTCCCACCGCCAGTCCCCCCACTGAGCCCCCAAACTGGTACCGAGGGCGGCCCCGGCTCCGGTGGAAGGTGCTGCTGAAGCGGGGGGGCGGCTCGCGGTGGTCGGGCAAGTTGAGGAGGGGGAGGAAGATGAAGGGCGGGCGAGTTAGGAGGAGCTGCTTTGCATCCCTTCACGTCAGCCCTGCCTCATTCCCTCCTTCTTCCTTCCTGCGCACCCAGCGCCGGGCCCGGAGCCGCCGCCGCCGCCGCCGCCCCGCGGAGCCGCCGGTGAGTCCCCGCCGGGCCCCGAACGCCCACCGACCCTCCCCGCTTCCCACGGGGGTACCGGAGCGGGGACCCCGCGGTGTCGCCGCCTTCCTGCCCCGCGCCACCGAGACGGGAGCGATGGCGGCGGGAGGGACCGGGAGGAGCGGGGCGGACCGGGGGTCCCGGCTCCGTGCCTGCTCCCCAGCAGCCCCCGAGAACTTTCCCCGCGGCCGCCCGCAAACTTTCTGGGCCCGCAAAGTTGCGGGGAGGGCGCGGGGCGGGGGCCCTGACCTGTTGCGGGCGGGGGCGGCGGCGCGGGGAGGGATGCTCGGGGCCGGGGTCGGGCCGCGCCGGGGCTCCGGTCCCCGAGCGCCGTGCTGAAGTTTGGGGAGTTTCCTGGTGTTCGGGAGGGGTCCCGGCTGGGGTCCGCCCGTCCGCTCCGGGGAGCGCAGTGCAGCGGGGGTGACCGGGTGGGCTGGTCCCGCACCGGGCGGGTCCCGCCCCACCTTCGGTCCCGAGCACCGGCAAGTCCCGGTGTGGGACCTCCCGGTGCTCCGAGGCGGCTCCGAGAGGGCTGGGGGGGCCTTTGGTTCTGCGCCCAAGCGAGGGACCAAGGGGAGCCGTGTGAGAGCCCTCCACAGCTCTGGTCATAACAGCGTCTAATGGGTAAATTAGTTCTATTAATTAATTAGTCAAGCATAGGATTTTTCTTGTGAGCAGCTGTGTAGGAAGAGAAGGGTGACCAGGGGGAATAGGGGCAGCCCAGAGCCTGACCTGTACCAGACTGAGCCTGACCCCACCCCAGGTTCAAAGACTGCAGCTCCATCAGCCCCCCACATCCCACACCCCACTCCTGTGCCCCACACCCCGCTCCTGTGCCCCACACCCTGCTTCTCTGCCCCACACCCCCCTCCTGTGCCCCATGCCACACTCTGTGCCCACACCATGCTGCCAGGCTTGCCTTGGTCACTTCTGTGGCCCGGGTTTGAACAGGCCCCACGGGCTGTGGGTCCCACACGGCACAGCTGGGTCCTGCGGCCGTTCAGGCTGGCCACAGGATTAAGCAAATATAGCCTGGGCTGGAGACAGACTCCAGGCTTGGCTCTGCAAGGGTCGCAGGGAGGCAGCAGCCTCGGCGCTCGCCCTGGAGCTGCCAGGGTGCCCAGTGCCTGGGGGCCGTGGGGAGCAGCAGCCGGGGCAGCGTGGCCGGGCTGTGGCCGTGCCCTGCTGCCAGCCTGGGTGACAGTGTCCTCACTGCAGGAGCTGCCAGGGAACAGGCACGTCCCCCTCGCCCAGGCCCAGCTCCTCTCCTGTGAGCAGCTCTGTGTCAGTGCCCTCTTTATGGGTCACACTGTGTCCCTCCAAAACGGGAAATAGCTGAAGCTCTGCTGCAGCCCAGGACACGTTGCCACCAAACCTGGGGGTGACTCGTGGGGTAAGACGTGGATCCCGCAGCCGTGGGAGTGGAGCACCTCTGATGGTGGGGTCACAGCTCAGCACGTTGGCATTTTGGGCTTGGTTTAATCCCCAAGAGAGTGTTTGTTTTGGGTGGTTTTATTGGGCCATTTTCATTTATCAACTAGTTTGGGAATCGCGGTGTGGAGAGGGAGGAGCGCAGGCACTGTCAGGCTTTGCTCTCCGGCTGGGAATATTGAGGAATCTACAAAGCAGTAGGTTTGTACTGCCAGGAACATGCCAGCATCACAACCTTGAGAGAGAGGCTGCCAGCACTCCTGTGTTTTAGTTATTCCTGTGGAGAAGTCAGCTCCAGCTCAGCCCAGTCTCTGGGAACGTCCCTGGGGCTGCAGGCCAGAGCCAGTGCTGGGGTGAGGGGTAGCCCTGTGTCGAGCGGGCTTCCTGCTGGGTTTGTTGCCCTCTGCCACGCACTCCCAGGTTTGGTTTCCCTAGCCCCATCACCTCCCTGGCTCAGGTGCAGCTCCTGGAATGCCCCGAATACCAAATTCAGGGCACGTGTGCCACGAAGGTGGCACGGTGGGGCTGGAGGAACGCTGCAGGATGGCCGGGATGTGATGTGCCACAGTGCCCAGTCCCATCCCCTGTGCTGCCTGTGGCTAGAGTCCTCAGCAAGAGTCATGGTCCCCCTGAGCCCTTCCCAAAGGGCTCAGCCTTGGCAACAGAGACCACGACTGGTGACAAGTGTTCTCCCTTTGCTCCTCTGTCCCACAGTTTCTCCTCAGCCCCATGCACACCCTCCTCTTCCTCCTCCCTCCCCCTGGCAAGTGGCTGTGGGTCACAGAGGGGTTGGTGTGGGAGAAGACCTGGCACAGCCCGTGCCCAGCGTGGCTTTTCCCCAATCCCAGTTTCTGCCCAAAACACAATGAAATGTGGCATGTCTGTTGGGAAGGAGGTGCTCCTGCCGAGCTGCGGAGGAAGGTCTGTGTCGGTGTGTTTGGGGTCTGTATTTGGACAAGGGGGGCTGCTCTGCTCGCCTGGCTGCAGCTTCAACTGAGGAACAGGGTTCTCCCGCCAGAGGGAACAAGTGATGATAAACTTTCTTTCCCAAACTTTAAATTAAAGGGGAGAAACACGTTTTTTAC